CATCATGGCCAATAGGAGAATGTCTCTGCTGCTTTGCTCTCTGATTTCCTCAGTCCCTGACCTCTAGACCCAGATTTAAGGGGCTTGTGTGATGAGGTCAGGGCTGCTCAGACAATCTCCCCTTAACTAACCCCAAATCAACTCCTAGTAATATTAATTATACCCTTGAAATTCCTTTTGCCATATAGCATGGTTCTGGGAGTGATATTTCATGATATTCACTAGTTTCACTCAAAACCCATTCACAGAATGGGTGGAGGGTTTTAATAATATAATACAATATAATATATAATTATATATTATAATATTATATTAATATTATTTCTTAATGCATATTATATTTTGTTAAGATTTTATATATATATGCAACAGGTTAAGTTGGTTAATAGTTTTTGAGTCTTTTATTTTCTTGATTTTCTGTCTAGTTTTTCTATCAGTGATTGAGGATAAAATATTAAAAGCCAATATTGCTGAATTCTCCTTTCAATTCTATCAGTTTTTGCTTCCTATATTTGGGGAGCTCTGCTATTAAGTACACATTTATTTAAACTTATTTCTTCCTGCTCTGTTGACACTTTTATCATTATAAAATATCCCTCTTTCTTTCTAACAATGTCTCATATTAGGTATATTTTATTTCATATGAATATAGCCACTCTAGCACCCTTATGGTTATGGTTTGTGTCCTTTTTTTTTAAAGATTTTATTTATTTATTTATTTGACAGAGAGATAGAGAGAGAGCACAAGTAAGCAGAGTGGCAGGCAGAGGGAGAGGGAGAAGCAGGCTCTCCGCTGAGCAGGGAGCCGGATGTGGGGCTCGATCCCAGGACCCCAGGATCATGACTTGAGCCGAAGGCAGCCGCTTAACCGACAGCCACCCAGGTGCCCCTGTGTCTTTTTTTTAATTAACATATAATGTATTATTTGTTTCAGGGGTACAGGTCTGTGATTCATCAGTCTTACACAATTCACAGTGCTCACCATAGCACATACCCTCCTCAATGTCCATCACGCAGCCACCCTATCCCTCCCCGCCACCCCACTCCATCAACCCTCAGTTTGTTTCCTGAGGTTAAGAGTCTCTTATGGTTTGTCTCCCTCTCTGGTTTCATCTTGTTTCATTTTTTCCCTCCCTCCCCCTAAGATCTTCTGGCTTGTTTCTCAAATTCCTCATATCAGTGAGATCATATGATAATTGTCTTCCTCTGATTGACTTATTTCGCTTAGCATAATACCCTCTAGTTCCATCCACATCATTGCAAATGGCAAGATTTCATTTTTGATGGCTGCATAATATTCCATTGTGTATATATACCACATCTTCTTTATCCATTCATCTGTCGATGGACATCTAGGCTCTTTCCATAGTTTGGCTATTGTGGACATTGCTGCTATAAACATTGGGGTGCACATACCCCTTCAGATCACTACATTTGTATCTTTGGGGTAAATACCCAGTATGCAATTGCTGGGTCGTAGGGTAGCTCTATTTTCAACTTTTTGAGGAATCTCCATACTGTGTTCCAGAGTGGCTGCACCAGCTTGCATTCCCACCAACAGTGTAGGAAGTTTCCCCTTTCTCCGCATCCCCGCCAACATCTGTTGTTTCCTGACTTGTTAATTTTAGCCATTCTGACCGGTGTGAGGTGGTATCTCATTGAGGTTTGATTTGGATTTCCCTGATGCCGAGTGATGTTGAGCAATTTTTCATGTGTCTGTTGGCCATTTGGATGTCTTCTTTGCAGAAATGTCTGTTCACATCTTCTGCCCATTTCTTGATTGGATTATTTGTTCTTTGGGTGTTGAGTTTGATAAGTTCTTTATAGATTTTGGTTACCAGCCCTTTATCTGGTATGTCATTTGTAGATGCAAATAATAAAAATTTCTGAATGGTGCATTGTCCCCCCTCACTGATGACATGTGCAGACAAGTTTGTGGGTATGATTTCATGCTGTCAAATTAGCTGCCTGGAGGGGAATTCTCAGGGATACTGAATTATTACTCTGGCTGGTCTTTTCTATTTATTTGGGGGGAAAGTGTTTCTCTTAATCACCACTGGATGTCAGTAGAGTTGCGTGTGGCAGAAGCTCTGAACCGGGCCAGTACTTAAAAAAATAAGATAAATAAAATAAAATCTTCCTTTGTAGCAAAGGGAAGAGAAAATAAATGACTATGGTCTAAGATTCTCTATTTAAAGCACTATACAGACTCTCCTGAAGAAATGAAGGATTTTATGAGATTAATCAGTTTCCAAATCCCAGAGGTAGATTGAGATTAAAATTGATTAGAGGATCAAGTTGGTGTAGGGGAGTTGGAGGGGAGATGAAAGAAAATAAAACTCAAGTTAACTGAGCATCTTCTATGTGCTAGATATAATGGTAAGCAATTCACACATGTGTTTTCAATACATCTTCGTATCTCAAGGTAGAGAGCAGTCTCATTGCACTCATGCTAGAGGGGCATTGCTACTTAGCAGTTATGTTGAATGTCTGATGCAAACTGACTTTGAGTGTTGCCTAAAGAGCTGCCCGCCTTTTCTGAGAAAGGAGTCAAAGCTAGGAGAGTCCCAGGAGGAGCTCCAGCACTAGACGTTTTACTGGTTAATCATGATGGAAGTGGTGGACACGGTGGAGTCAACCGACTGTGTGTGGAAGGAGAGTGGCCCCATGTAGTTGACAGCGCCACTGGGAGAGTTTCCATTGGGGTGTTCTCCAAGGAAGGAATCATTCTCTCTCTCTCTCTCTCTCTCACACACACACACACACACGTATCCCCTACATTCTTTTAGGCAGATAAGGGTGTTTTTTATTCTGTGCTCAAATAGCACTTAGTGCCCTGTATGATGCTTCTGTACCTTTTTTTGTCATCAGTTTTCCCCAATCGGTTCCGAATTCCCTGAAGCCAAGGAGTGTGTCTTATTCACCTTTGTAACCCTGGCACCCAGCATAGTGTCTGGTACCCCCAAATTCCCATAAATGTTGAATATCCATAATAAGCAAATAAATAAGAGAAATGGTGTACATATGTGGGTGTAGGGAGGAAGGGCAGAAGAAAGGGAGAAGACAATGAGGAGAGAGTTTGAAGAAAGAGCTGAAAGCAAAAGGCAACATTCTACTCTCAGAATGAAAAAATAGAATGGGGAAACTGAGCATCAGATTTGACACAGTGGGTATGACCCCTGACATAGTGGGTCAGGGCAGGGAAAACATGAGAAAATCTGTCAAAGAAATGGAGCTTATATGAAATTAGGAGAAGTCTTGAAAGACCAGCGTGTGTGTGTGTGTGTGTGTGTGTGTTGAGGCTTAACATTTACACTGGAACAATTGTTTTTTCTTATTTTGAAATCAGAAAAAAATATGAACTGGCTATCTCTTTTTTTTTTTTTTAAAGATTTTATTTATTTATTCATGAGAGACAGAGAGAGAGATAGAGAGAGAGAGAGGCAGGCTCCCAAGGAGCAGGGAGCCCGATGCGGGACTCGATCCCAGGACCCTGGGATCATGACCTGAGCCGAAGGCAGACGCTTAACCATCTGAGCCACCCAGGCGCCCCTGAACTGGCTATCTCTTAACAAATATTTTAGTTAGCCTTTGTTTGCTTGTTTTGTTTGAATAGTTGATGAGGGAGAAGGGAGTTCAAATTTAGGTTTATATCTATCATTGTTGACTTACTCTGTATTTAAAAGGAAAAGTAAAAAATGAGTTTCCAAAAATATGTAATGATGATTTTGTGATATTTATAATAAGAAATATATATTTAGTCTTCCTTCCAGTTCCTGGCACAAATCTGGAATTTCCTAAGTGATAGAGCAGTAAAGATGTATTTTTTTATGTTAATGAGTTGACTTTGGGAAAGCCCTCAGGGAACCTAAGGATAAGTAGGGGAACCTCCCCAAGCAGAGGAACCAACCTTATGATTAGAGGATTGGAACTTTCAGGCCACCCGCCCCCTGACATCTGGAAAGGAGAGAGGGGCTAAAAATTGAGTTTAATCACCAAAGGCTGATGATTTAATCAATTGTGCATATGTAACAGAGCTCCATAAACCGCCAAAAGGATAGGATTGGGATAGCTTCTTGGTAAACCCAGGGAGATTCAGGGACTGTGGTGTTCCACACCCCTTCCCATTCCTTGACCTCTGTTTCTCTTCCATATGGCTATTCTGGAGTTGTATCCTTTTATAATAAACTGGTAATCTAGTAAATGAACTGTTTCTCTGAGTTCTGTGAGCCACTGTAGCAAATTAATTGAACCAAGGAGGGGGTCTTGAGAACTCCATCTGTAGCCACTGAGCCCTTTGATGCTATCTCCAGGTAGATAGATAGTGTCAGCATTGAGTTAACTGCTTGGTGGTGTCGAAAAACACACACATCATAGTAATCCAATAAAGATTTTATTTTGAAGCCAATTACTTACACAGCTCCTGAGCCTTAATTGTAGGGGGCTTGTCTGCATGCTGTAATGAGGATAACCATGTGATGCAGCACTAAGTGTCTACCATAGAAGAGTCTGAATACCACCATTACTCAGTTAACTCCTGTTGACAATTAAGGAGGACAAGAAAGAGTTGTCTCTTCTACTTCACCATGATCCCTGAATACACAATTCTGTCTAGTTTCTTGGGAAATGTCTATTTGGCAGTCTAGGCAATGGTAATTTACACATTTACACTTTTCCTAATGGCAAATCAAGAGACCCCCATTGAACATATATATTCAATAACAAGAAAACAAAGATATATAATTTTTCCTACATCTTGTTTATTAAATAATTTAGATAGCACAAGCTGAATATTGCTACAATTTGTGTCAAAGAAAAACAGAATTTTATGAAATTTAATGAAACATGTTATGTTTTTGTGGTCTTTTAAATTACAGCATCCTTTTAAAGATACATATTTTCAATGTTCATTATATAAAAGCCTACATTTCAGAGAATTCAAACTTTGCTTTCTTGAGTTTCTTTGGTTGGTTTTTACATATCATCAAAAAACCAAATTTCTGATGAATAATTTCCCCTAGGAAGTCAATAGTTCTTCATATCCAGGGTCAGAAAATGCTTTTGCGGGTATGCTGGATTTATTCTTGTAACTCTGAGGCAGGAAAAGCACACTCTAAAAGAAACAAAATATGTTAGTTTCTTCAGATGCTTGTTCTTCAGACTTTACTCGGGTACACGCTTGATGCCATTTCCTCCATCTTTGTGTATATATATACATTGTATACAAGATGAGTATAGTATGTCATTAAGTTCTTTAAATAAATGCTGCTCATCAGCTCAATATTCATTCTGCTTTCTGTAATACAATTTTGGATACATCAAGGCTTTAATTCAGTGAAATGAAGCTATGAGTCTGTGGTGGTGTTAGAGTGCTGTCCCATGGAATTTGAAACAACTATTTTTTAAAAATATCTTTTAGGTGAAAAAAGAATTTTAAGATCACAGGAAGGCAACACCAGAGCATTAAGGACATTTATCGAATCCAGTCATGTGTGCAAATGCCCTTGACCAAGTCAAGGCTGTTAGAGAGGCTAGGGCTGTGGTAGAAAGTGTTCCTGTCTGGAAAAGACACAAACCAAGTTCTGGGGACCTGACTGAGCACAAACTCATACACAATGTTGGGTAAGCCATTTAACTTCCAGGTTTCTGCATTTACAAAATAGAAAGATTGAACCAGTCGATTTCCAGGTTCAACCATCCCATTTGGTTAACCCTCAGCCGGTCAGCTACTCAATTGCCATCTGCTTTCCTCATGAGTTTTCCACCCCCATCAAGCCGTCTCCCATGTATATCTCGTGACCGACAACTGCCGACCCTTCTGCCACTCTTGCTGACATTGCTCAACACAGCCCAGAACTGGAGATACACCTGGCAGGATTCAGGGAGGCCGGACAGCACACTCACCCCAGTGAAGTCGGAGTAAGCCTGTTTCCACCAAACCACAGCAGCGAGCACGGCCACACAGAACTCCAGCACCGTGCAAATCAGCATCACAGACAGAGTTCCCTGAAATTCAGGAAATACAAGGTTGGCGGTGCTTGAGTCAACCGACGCCTTCATGCCTTGTTCAGTGTTGACGGTAGAGGTGAAGACCGCCTCAACCATCAGAGGATGAAGGAAGAACATCCTCAGCAAGAGAACATGCTCCTTCCTAGCCTAGCAATTGGCTTCATTTAATCCCTTTGCTTATTTATTCCCTTGAGAAGGGGGATGAGCAGAACTACATCAGCTACACATAACCCACTTTGTACATTGTTTCCTATCCCGCTGAGACATAGCAACATCTGATTACATTGTTCACTCAGTGAGTGGCACAGTAATGCCCAGGACTGAGATGGGACAGCCTCACCTCTGCCACTTAGTAGCTGTGTGAGCCTGAAGTCTCCACATTTATCAAATGTACAGTGAGATTTCCTTCTCAGAGATACCTGAGAATCAATGAGGTTTTGACCTCACTGGTGCAAGCCCTTTGTAAAAGGCTTTCTTAGCCTTTCTTGATGTCAGTAAGAGAAAGAAAATCAAAGCAATAAACATAGCATAAACAAAGCTGCCTCCATTACTAACAACCCACACCAACTCAAAAAAGATATTATGCCAAGAGACTAGGTTCTACCATTTCTGTCCCGAGTCATCCTTCATGCAGACCCAGCAACCTGATAGACCAGGAGAGACAATGTGATTGCACAAACCTCTATTCTATTTACGTACAGTTCAAGAGGAAATACAACTTGTTTACATTAATTAGAAACTGTCCCAGCAAGCATGTGCAGTATAATCCCTTTGTTTATAAAGCAAAATTACCCCTCAGGAATTCATACTTTATCCGTTCCACAAATCCTTCCCAAACTTCTCTCCAGAATTTTTCCCAAGGTGGGGCTGCCTCCCCCATGTGTTGGTTTATGCCAATTACTATCAACCTCATTTGCATGTACCTTTTCTCATTATAATATCATGAACCTGGAGAGAAGCGCCTGGGGCCAGGTCCACAAGGAGTGGCGGGCAAGTGCATGCTTGATCAGCTCTGTTAGCATCTGACCATTCTCCACCTGTGGCCTTGATGTAACTCACTTTTGTGGTTGTGGGACAACAGATACTCCGCAGCCTCTTTATTCTTATGTGCCCGTGTCTTTCCCAGTGTTTTCTAACCATACACATACCCTTTAATGCTCCAACTGAAGACATTATTTCTATTAGCCAAACTTCATTGCTTTCTTTTTTCCAATAATGACAATCATAATCAGTTCCCATTCTCCATCTTCCTACATCTCTTATTTCCCAATTTGATAAGTCCCACTGCTGGAAGTTTTCACAAACAGCAATGATGCTGCCTTCTCCCCTGATCAATCCTGTTCATCACTGTGGTCCCCAGAAGTAGAAGAAGCCCTCACCTCTGAGGTCATATTTCCTACTTTCCGCTTCTCAGTGCTGGGCCCAGTGTCCACTCAGACTGAGTTAACACCACATCACACATACTTTTCATGTTTCTTGACCACTTGGGTCTTCCTGCTGTCTTTGTCTTTCTTAAGTTACCATTCCATGTGCCAAGATTTTTGGTTGGACAAACTCCTATTTTATACCTCTAACAACAGAATTACTTTGATTATTAAGAAACTCTATCAACAGTAAGTTTTCGTTTTTCATCATCAACTTGATTTGACATTTACTCTTCCATTCCATCTCACTGATACGTAACTCCAGAACCTAGCCACTTCATCTCAGTCAAGCAGTCCCCTGCTGTTCGCATAGCCCTGGCCTTCCCCCAGATGCCCAAACCAGAAAGAATTAGACAGATCTTCAAAATAAGGGATAACAAAAGTCAAGGATTTCAGAAACCTCATAAGATTGGAAAACCTGTCTAAAAATACCTACAGCCAGAGTGGTTTTGGCCATGAAACAGCCATCCTTAGCATATGGGTGCATATAATGGAAAAGTGAATACCCTTCAGGCACTTTGTCCTCTCTGTTCAAGTCACATTTCCAAAAGGCAAGATCCAAAGCAGCCAGGTTGACAGAGAGGAGAATAAAACCCACAAGAGCACATAGAGAGCTCAGAATATTTGCAGCCACACTGCTCTGAGCCTGAAAGACAAAGGCTGAGTAAGAATCACTGTCAATGAGCAACACATACCTCTTATCCCTCTTTGCCAATGCACTGCAAAAAATTTATTTTCTTATCTGTGTCCCTCAGGGGATCTAGCATTGGTAGACTTAAACCAGGATGCCAGTACTTAGCAACATCTCTGAACCTAGAAAAGTAAATCTTGGCTAAGTGAATGAATATATGAAATGTTTCTCCCTCGGCAGGACTTTAGTAGGTGGCAGAGAATATTGCTCTTCTAAATTCTTTATTTGGGACTGAGAGCAGGGCTCCATGAGGCCGTGCCTGCAGAATCTCCAGAAGAGTACGACCAAAGGCAGTTAAGGTTTCTCTCTCCCCCGACTCATTCAGAAACCCCTTGAGGAAGCCATCGGCCACACAGAAGAGGCAGATGAAACAAGCTACTCCTCCTTGCACACGACCCTCTTAAATGCACACACACTCCCAAAGATGAGTGTGGGAACATAGTCCTCAGGCTTAGGTGAGCACTGGAGTGGACAGGCTCTGGTGGGCACAGGCAGGGCTCCATATGAATGAATGTAGCCAGGCCCAAGGATGGTATAATATGCCAAAAGAAAGCTGGGGTAGCAATTCTTATATCAGACAAATCAGATTTTAAACTGAAGACTTTGGTTAGAGACACAGAAGAACACTATATCATTCTTAGAGGGTCTATCCAACAAGAAGATCTAACAATTGTAAATATCTATGCCCCCAACGTGGGAGCAGCCATCTACATAAGCCAACTGTTAACCAAAATAA